TTAGGCTGGCCTCGATGCTTTGATGCGTTCTTAAGCTGCGAACGAGACCCGCTCGAATAGAATAGGGACGTGAAGAAAATTTGAAACATTTGTCCGGTTTCTTCCAGATGAAAGGATGTTCCGAATCCATATCTTTTTGGTAGGGTAAAATAATTGAATACAGTAAACTTTATGTTGACTTACATTGGACGCGAAGGGTTGAAGGTGAATAAATTTATTTCGTTCCCGTGTAATTCGAGTCTCGAACCAAGAGAAAACGGGAAAGAACGAGGTGAAATAATACGTATCTTGAAATTTTCCCGTTTGCCCGGCTATTAATATTAATGAACTCGTGGATTAACAAGACCGCGTTGGAAGGAAGCACTCGGTTGTTCAACGCAATTCTCTGTTTTCGGAGAAATTATGAATTACGGGAAAAATAAATGGTGCCACGATATTACACGAAATTCAGGGGAAAAATTGCTCCTCCGGGGAAAACAAGCTTCAGCGAATATATAGGTAAACAGAGGGTAATTTGTTCAGTTTTGATGTCTTTCTCTTTAAAATATATATTGCTCAAGGTCTTGAGAAAAATTTCATTTAAATTCAATTAAATCATTTTTATCAACGTTTAATATAAAATATATTCAAGAAACAACCCTCCGCGTCTGTGTTAAAATCTCTCAAGGACACAGCGATGACGTCGACGAAAAGAGGGTGGCGTGCTATTTTAACCAGCGACCCTGGATGATCGATCGCCAGGAATTAACCAATGTATCCCTGTGACGACACAGAAATACATATTTCGTGTACGTTTTTCTATCGTTCGTAACTTCGAATCACGCTGACGAGAACACGCGAGGTCGTCGAACCCGGGGCGTGACTGAAGGTAACTTTAACCATCGTGCTGAAGTTCTACTTCGCTCACGATTGATCGACCACGTTTCGTCCTGCTTGCTTCGCTATCTCGAGAATTTATCTTCCGTCAGAGCTGTTGCCCTGTTTGAAATTTCGACGAACAACCCCCCGTTAAACGGGACCAAGTACCAAGGGTGTTTTCTAACGAACGAGAGTCTAAGAATTTCTCCTTTTGCATAGACACTAGGGAATATATTAGACCGATGAAAAGAAAGAAAATAAAATAATTACCCTTTGAACACCCTTGGCACTTTCTATATCGCGATGTTTTCTAAATGATAATTCCGCTCATTTCCCCCATTGAGGGGAAAACCAGCCCTCGGAAAGGCAGCTACGAATTTGGGGTAGTGTGTGAAAGTTCACTGGTGAAGGGTAGACTGGTTGGATGGTTAAAGGTGTTACGAAACGTCGTTCATGGAAGTATTTCTCGGGCGTGGGTGGTGCGAGAGCTTTAATTCGAGTTTGATGTGTTTATCGGGTACAGGGTGAGTCACTGGGGTTTGACGCTTTAAATAACTATCGTTTATTTTTGCCATTACGAAATGTAGTTCTCGAGGAACGTATATGTTGTGTTTACGTTCGTGTGGTTCCTGGGGTTTTAAAGATTTTTTCTTCAACTGTACGAGCTACTTATTTTTGTCCCAGACGCGCGAGTTGACGGATGCTAAAGTTAAACGGCACAGTACGAACAAAAATTCATATAGTACGCGAAGTATTTAATTTCCCATATGAAATGATAATTCTTTATTTGAAACGCTTTAAAAGGTATCTCGTCAGATTCGAATCAGCTTGTATTATTTTTGGATCGTATCCTCAGTGTCGGTGAACGCGTGAACGCGACGAGAAAGAAGAAAAGAACGCGAACAAGCTAAAGATCGCTTAATTGTTCTTCGCTTATCGCGACGAAGGGGGGAATAAAAATTCCGACGGACACGAATGTTCGCGAACGAAGATAAAAGAGAAATCGCAACGAGACACGCTGTTGTCGGTAGACGAGCAAAAAGCGAATGATATCTCAACGTTTTCTGGACGCGTGTAATTGTTAACTCGTTACGTTCATTACGCCCGTTATTTCCGAGCGGCCAGATAGCACGGGCAGCCTGTTTAACGGGATAAAAGGGGATATAACGACCGGTCGTATTCCACGTTTTTCCTCCTTTTGCCACGGAGCTATGCATGCAAAACTCGCGACACACGTTTCTACGTTTTTCCTCGAGTTCGCCTCGTGGCGGAAAAAAAGTCGGTCGACGAGAGCGAATGTTTTCGGTGAGCGATCAATACTACCCTCTCGGTTTCTTCTCACCCCCTCGACGAACATTGCCGCCACTCCCTTCTACCTTTTACTTTTTTTTCCCCACTTTTTAAAGATGTGCCGCGACGATGAAATCTCGCCTGAAAGACGCGACCAGAACTCTGGCTCGTTTCGAAAACGCGACGAAACTTTGGAATCGCGTCGACTATTATTCGAAATTAGGGGTGCTCGAAGATCCTGGAAATCGCGAACGAACCGATTGTCCCCGCTATTCTTGGAAGTTTCCAGAAGCTGGGAAAGATGTAGAGTTTCGAATTGGTGCAGAGAGACGCCCTGGATCGTTTTAACTCTTTGTCGATGCAGAACAGAGTTTAGGAAATTTTATTCGAATTTAAAGAAGAAATATATATACTTTGACTCTTTTCCAAGGATTTTCTTGGCTGAAGAAAGTCTTCTCCTTCTTCTTTTTCTTCTTCATTAATAAATAATCAAATGTACAAGTTGGAACGGATGAAGTTGTTTGAATAAAAAGAATCTTACGAGTCAAAGAAATCGACGTATCAAAGAAAAAAAGGAATAGAAACGCGATAAGCTAGTAGCGTGATAAATCAGTCGGTTCAGTAACATGAATTACGAAACAAGGAGACTCTTGCGAGTGGTCGATGATGCAAACGGTCAGATTCACGGGAATCACCCATTATCGTGCAGATCGTTTCTTTTTATTAATTTTCTTTTTCTTGGCTCGAAGAGCAAGCATGACTCTGTTGTTGTCGATGGAATTTCACTTGGAAGTCATGCCGGATTCGAGTCCATTGTTCGATCGTTTTGTTGCGATCATTGTGTCGAGTCACCGCGACAATGGAAACAATGGAAGACGTCATCGTACCTGGAATGGCTTTCTCTGTCTTTTCGTATTCAAATTCTGGCCCCTGAAAACGTCACTGAACGCGAACCATTTCGTCGTGAGACGAAGTGTAACGGTTCCGACGAGAAACGTGAAATTTTGGCGATTATTGATGGGTCATTTATTAACACGACGACTGACACGTGTGATAAACAGCTTGGACGAAATTATAATTGCTTCTTTATCGGTGTAAAATTTTCCGTGTTTGTATTTAAGGATTTTGGAGAATTTAATCGTGCAGGAAAAATAAGTGTACCGTAAATTTTATAGAAATATTTATTTCTAATTTCGCTTGAAAAATAGATAATTTGGTGTTGAAAACGAGCAACCTTCCGTGTCCTGCAAAAATGATAATTTCTCCGGGAAAAAAAATGGAAGACCTCGGTTCGATTTTCCAATAAAGCATGAAAATGCTCATTCCGCTCGTCGCGTTCGTGCATTGTTTAAAATTGTAACGCCATCAATATAACGTTTTAATAAAGCCCCGTTTTAATGGTGGCGCGCATGGGAGAAATGAGATTCCCGATACACGTGCCGAGGGCTTATTGCACATCGAATTCATAAACTGTTCGCGTTATTTTCAAATAATACGCGTTAAAAAATCATCCGTCAATTTTCCCTTCATGTACCAGCAAGTTTGACGAATGATTTCTCTCCTGTAGCCAACTTTATCCCATTTGCTTTTAGCCATATCTAAAAATAAATTTCTCTATTTTTCACATTCTTTTCAAATTCTCTTTGTCAAGGGATATTTCTTTTCAAAGATTCTCTCGAGGAACACAAGTCACCGTAATGAGTCAGAAGCCGAACGTTGAAAATTTCGCGTAACACGATCCTGACCCGGCAATTATTCGCAATATTTCGGCGTTGCGACCCGGTGCAACTCCGTAATTGGTGACGAGGAGTTCGCGCGTCTTCCGAGAACTTTTATTACCGTACCGGCTATTTCTGATGCAAGCGACGCGTGCATCGACGTCGGGACGCGATCGCACGCCGATGCACTCGTTCTTTTTTCATCTGCCCTCGTCGTTGGACCAGTTGCTCGGCGGGTTTAAAAATTGAACCAGATCGACCAGGATCGTTGAGTCACTAGCTCGCGAAATTCCTCTTCGCGATCATCGAGGAAACTCGAAGAAAATTTTTCGGAATTAAATGAAAGAAAATTATTTAATCCAGGATATATTCATATATTTATTTCAAATAATAATACAAATTTTTACAAGATATTTGCTTAGAAAATTATAAGCGTGTAGGTGTAACGTTAGGCCGGGAAGAACATTGTTGAAAAGCCGCATTTCCAACCAGGTCAGTCCGTGGTCACACGATATAAACATTCATGACCGACATACGCGAAGCTCGCGTTCGAACTTTGACCCATGAACTTCAGTAATAACGCATAGCGGCCGGGTCCTTTGGTTCACGGTCATCGTAGTTCTATACTTCCGTTGTTTTTCCTATGATTTACTCGAACCGATGGTGAACAGCGGTAAGAATCATTTATCTCTTCGACAAATGAACTCTCATTGATATCACCTAATGGTGTGATCGAAAATTCTTTTCTTTTTAATGAAATAATGCAATTATAAGGAAATTTCAATTTATAGTACGCTTTATCAAATCAATCTTTCGCAGAAAAATTACTTGTTATCATTCGTTTGTAGAAAGTATAAACATTCGTTTCACAGAATCGTTGATGAATAAAAATCATTTAGTGGTTTCGTTGGTACAAAAAACCCAAGAATCAATTCATGCTTCCTCGGTCGCTGTTAACGTTTCATCGATCATTACAGCGTGCAGTGAAAGCGTTCCCTCGGATGTAACAAGAAACCTTTCTTTTGCAACAAAGTATCGTTTGTACTGTGATTTCGCGAGAAACTAGTCATTATCTGAAGCTACGATTGAAACAATTTTTCTAACAAGGTTCTATTTTTTTTTTTTTGCTTGCAGATCGAGCAACGTGTGTGACTCGAAACGGCGACCAAGCACGGCAAAAGCGCGCAAGGTAACGTTGCTTTCACTTTTATTTACGACACACTGTTTCTTTAATCGTGTTTTTTTCTACCGTTGAATATCAAGAGATTCAGTTTCGTCGAATCGTTAAACGATGCACGGGAAATGATTTTTGAATGAAGGTGAAATTGGGGTTTTATGAGGAACGATTTCAACCCCTTGAGAGGTGATTAAGTTTTAAGAAAAATACCATCCATCAATTATTATTTATTTATTTCGGATACTGTCAAAGTTCTACTACGTTGTAAAAATATTAACATTACTTTCGATTTACCCTGCCACGTTACATCACAATCGAGTAGCGTAATACACCACGCAATGCTGACTCACTTCCGGCCAGCTTAACTTAATATTCCGCTTTTGTCACTTGCCGCTTTTCGTTCATTCATCCGCATCCGTACAGTAAATATTCGACTACCTCATTAGGCACGAAAGTAATTCGTTGATTTAATAAACCTGATGAATCACGTGGATCGTTGGAAGTGTTAATGACAGTGGTGTCATTAGTCGAGGCTGGTTAAGCGACCCTCCGCAAGGACTTTGATTTTCATTACTTTTGCAATCACTAGAAAAGAAAATAATTAATTAAATTGATCTTTGTTCAAAATGTTGTCTGACGCAGTAGAAACAGCCATGACTAGTAAGACACACACTAATATCAATTAATGATTTTTTCATTGCAAATTACCAGCGTAATTTCAATGGTATTCAGAATTCTCCTTCTGTCTTCGTTTTTCAATCATTCGGTTAAATTATAGTCACAGTGATGGCCAACGATGACCCCGCGGCAACGTAATAAACCATGATCTGCATTTTTGCGTCATTCGTAACAGATGTACAGGTGTTCGCCTCCACATTCTTTGTGTAGCTTAAAATACACTCAGGACCAAAGGAGGGCTTTATTTGTTACGGGAACATCGTTTTGCGTCAATGTTTACGCATTCACGATCATTGACGTAGTACTACGTCTATGCACAGTTTATGCGTGTTCTTATTCCAATAATTTCTCGTGCCTCTAACGTGTGCCATTAATTTTTCATTCGATTCAAGTACGTCTGATTTTCTGAATTTTAATTTTACACATCCAGTCTCTTTCGTAGGAATATTCGTGCTAAAGGTTTATCAGTGTTTCTCTAAAAAATATAAAATCATACGCGGAAATTAAATAAAGTTCGCGAGGTAAATCAGTAGATAATTGATAAAACAAAAGTCCCTTGACGTGCGCCAGTTTCGTTTCACCTTCCACCGGATTAATTATAACCAGCATAAATTAACAATCATCCCACGCTTTCGTAACTAGAATTCAACGTGACACGTGTCGTTCCGGGGTGATAAATCAGTCTAGGTTTGCATATGCATCGCTGTTTAAATGTAAATATTGTTTTCACGTTCCTCTTTTCTCAGGGGAAACGTTAAGCAACGGATCGTTTAATATTCGTTAAATAGAGGTCGGTCGTTAATCAATGAAGAAACTTTCTTCTCGAAAGTAAAATGTTGACAACAATGTTCAGAAAGTTGAATTTCGAAGGAAATCGAAACCATAGCCACTTTGCTAATCCTTTTACGATTCGCAACTTTCGGACGAATAACATTATAGATGGAGAGTTGATTCCGTGAAAAATCTTTTCGATGCCGCGTTCCTTCCGCGTTTCTCCGCGTTCCGAAGAATTTTTCTGATCACCCCAGGTGGTGCCAGCTTCTCGGCTGGCAGTGGAAAACACCGTGGGGTTGATTTATCGTCGCATCGCGAGGACGTTAAGTGGCGTTGTTCAAATTTCGTGCAACGTGTCGTAACGAACGGGCATTCACGGTACATCGGGAAGAACGGCCTTGCTATATTATTATTAGACGAGGCATTAAATGCGAGTAACAAAGCACGCAGCCTGATTCGATTTTCGACTCGAACATTTACGATTGCACTGGCAGACGTTGTTTCGTCGTAGATTCAAATAGACTGCTTAGGATTGGAAACTTTTCTAAATGACTTAGAATAAATTTCAAATGAGATTTAAGTCCGAGCGATCCAACGCGTTAATTTATATCATTTCTCCTGACACCGTCAGTGAAAATCATCGTGTCGCTAGATAGAAATCTAGCTGCCACGATCTTCTGCCACGAAATCGGATCAGATTTCCGTGAAAAGGGAGCATCCGTGTCTGGCATCGGATCGCGGGAATTTTCTTTCTTTCTTTCCGCGGAAAGTGGTCTCCCGTTTCGTCAACGACCACAACAACGCTATTTATGCCACTTACTCCGGGAATAGTGCCGTTGGCCTGCCTCCAAACAATATTTTTCTCCTCCATCCACGCTCAGCGAAACAAACAATGTACCAACAAATACGTGAACATGCATGTATCCGCTCGGTTCTAAATTGCCACTGAAAAATGATCGACCGATGATTCGGACGATGATTGTTACGATTATAAAAGTCATGCGGGAAGAATGAAGATGGTTCTAGAGAATTTGCCAATTCGTTGACTCGGATGAAATATGGATGAAACGTTTGTTGAACACCTGGTAGTCGAAAATGTTCCTCGGTAGATTGCTCAATTTCACGTGTATTCTGTCTGGATCACCAAAAAAGAAGTTTGAACACTTTATGAAATATAACAGGAACCTTCATAAATGACACAGACTCGAATTTACAAGTGTTTCGAACAGCTGAAATCACAAGCTCTATTCGTTCAGAGCTCCTAAAACCTGTTCACCATTAACGTTCTACGTCAAACTGCATTATCGTTATCATTGTTGACCGTGATCGTTCCATAAAGCATGCCATAAAACCAAAGCGACTGTTTTCCTTTAGATTCCAAGGCCTCTGCGCGACGATAAAGAATACGGTCTCGGTGTTATGCAATGCTCGACTTCTCTTTCGATGCTTTTACATCAAATATTCAACCCTTAACAATTGTTAAGGATTGCTAGCTCATCTCGAATGATAAGAAAATAAAAATCACTCTTCGTGGCATCGAAAGCGATTAATTTGGATCGATTAAAAAATGAGCGAAAGGTTGATAAGAAAGCGGGAAAATTATAGAGAAAAGAAGTATCGCGAAGGGTAGAAAGGAGAATCCTTTCGATCGACCTATTTCAGGCGTCAGGCCAATTACCGATCCAGAGGTCTCAATTAATCCGGCGTGCAGCTAATCCGAGGACTCCCGTTTCCGTGGCTGACTCGTAATAATGACGAAACGAGCCGGCTGCGCAGCCACGTCGACCCACATTTATAAATAGAGAGGCCTCGTATCCATCGGAGCGAAGGTGTGCGTCGTGTGTCACCCCAGGAATACCACGCTCGACCGAGTGACCGACGACCGGCTAGCTGTGAATGGGCCTGCGGAGTTGCTAGAAAACGAGACACCCGGACCATCGGCCCGTCGTGGAAAACTGCTCGTAAAACGACGTTTTCTCGTGAAAGGTCCACAGCCTCCCAAGGATACATTTTATAGTACGGATAACGGCGATTAACATCGATCGTTTCGTAATTTCGTTAGATTCTTCTATACGAGACATCAGTGTAGGTACTCGTATTATGAAAAATCCAATACGATGTGGAAGAAAACGAGAAAAGGAATGAATCATTTGACAAATCAAAAGCTTTCGCGATAACAGTAAAGAAAAAACGGCCACAGAAGCGTAAAAAAAGGCTCGAAAAAACTTGCATCGAAGGACAGATGCTTCTTGCTACAAGTAGACTTTGATTGATCGATTTCTTCGCTTAACACGCGCTACGCTTTGCGTTCAAACTCTTCTGTACGACGCCAGCCGTCGAGCATTTCTCCTCGTTTCTGCGTCGTAACCAGCATCGGGAAATATATTTACGAGGTTTCTTAAAATTTTATGAAATCTCCGCGGAGGTGCGCAAAGAAAGCCGAAAGCAAATCTCGTGGATTTACATTTCTCCGAGCGAATGTACTTCATTGAACCTCGTGTTACCTTATCGATTATTCGAAATCCCGTTCTTCCATTCAGTTCTGAATCCGGTTGTTGTTGATTTCTCAGTCAGCGTCGCGTTAGCTTCGCGAACAGTCGTCGGTAAAAGCTTATTTGGTACCGCAGGAATGTGTAACAGCATAGCCTTGGTCGTCGTGTGGTCTCTTATTTTTAGAGAATTATTGGTTCACCTTGTAAACAAGACATTGATACTTTGTTTACCGCGAAACGTGGCCGGGTTTCTTCCTGGATTCTAATCGTTTCAACTTCTGCATTTCTTCCCGGTGACAGGGATACCTGGTGATCAAAAGCCTGGATACCAATCGTGCATCTCTTGGAGTTTCGCGAAAGCGTATCGTCAAAACTTGCAACAGTTGTTCGTTGTTATTAATTTTCTGTCTACATTGCTTGATTATTAACACGCGAACTTCTGTCATCGCTGATAATCCCAAGTGCAATTTTAATAATTCGAGTTCTTTCGAGCTTGCGGGTAGCCGCGGATAAATTACAAAACAGACGAAATAGCAAGGAAGATTGACCTGTAGTTAAAATCAGATTTAGATTTTGTTTAGACGAGCTGATGCTCGTTCGAATATTTAATACACTCCGAGGACGTTGGAACGAATAACATCGAGGGACAACAACAAAGTCGTAAAAAGCAAAAACTGTTCGTTGAATCATTTTTTAGGTATCATAACTACAGACACATTTTATAGCTAAAGGAAAAAAATAATAGCAATAGAATGAGGAACAAAATAATTTATTCTAAATTACGAGCAGCCCGTCTACATAGAATCGTTGCTATTTTACCAAAAGGTATCTTGCATAACCGCGTCGAAAATGACTCACGTGAGGTTTTTCGAGGTAGGAGGAAAAGGATGATTCGGTTAGTCGGGGGAACCGTGTGTTTTCGATCCGGCGACAAGACGGCGCAGAACGGAATGCGTATTCGTGACATTTGAAGGGGTGTCTTAAATTAAAACGATGGCAGAGCGGCTGAGCTGGCAGAGCGAGCGAAAGAACGCGGCGATTGCCACATCGACGTTTTGGCAGTGGCCA